ATCTTAAGTGGGTGAGATGGTATCTCATTATAGTTTTGATTTGCATTTCCCTGATGATTAGTATATTAGTTCATTCTCATACTGCTAATAAAGACATACCCGAGCCTGGGTAATTTATAAAGGAAAGAGGTTTAATTGACTCACAGTTGAGCATGGCTGGGGAGGCATCAGGAAACTTAAAATCATGGTGGAAGGGGAAGCAAACACGTCCTTCTTCACATGGCAGCAGGAGAGAGAAGAATGAGAACCAGGCAAAGGGGGGAGCCCTTTATAAAACCATCAGATCTTGTGAGAACTTACTCACTGTCATGAGAATAGCATGAGGGAAACCACCCCCCAGTGATTTAGTTACCTCCCACTGGGTCCCTCCCATGACACATGGGGTTTATGGAAACTACAATTTAAGATGAGATTTGGGTGGGAACAGAGCCAAACCATATCAATTAGTGATGTTGGGCATTTTAAAATATATTTATTGGCCACATGTATGTCTTCTTTTATGTGTTTAGATTTTTTGCCCATCTTTAAATTGGATTGTTTGTTTTTTGATGTTAAAAAGTTTGAGTTCCTTTTATATTCTGGCTATTAATTCCCTGTTCCATGAATAGTTTGCAAGTATTTTCTCCTAGTCTATAGGTTATCTTTTTACTCTGTTGATTGTTTCCTTTGCTGTGCAGAAGCTTTTTGTTTTTATATAATCTCCATTTGTTTATTCTTGCTTTTGTTGCCTATGTTTTTGAGGACTTATTCATAAAATCTTTTCTCAGACCAATACCCTGAAGTATTTCCTCTATGGTTTCTTTTAGTAGTTTTGTAGTTTTGGGTTTTACATTTAGGTCTTTGATCCATTTTGGGGTCAGTTTTTGTATAGGATGAGAGATGGGCATCTAGTTTTATTCTTCTGCGTATCTAGTTTTCCCAGAAATATTTATTGAAGGGACTATCCTTTCCTCAATGAGTGTTCCTGACACCTTTGTTAAAAATCATTTAACTGTAGATACATGGATTGATTAATTTCTGGGTTCTCTATTCTGTTCCACTGATCTATGTGTCTGTTTTTATGCCAGTATTATGCTGTTTTGGTTACTATGGCTTCGTAGTATATTTTGAAGTCTGATGGTATGATGGCTCCTCTTTGTGCTCAGGGTTGCTTCAGCTATTCAGAGGCTTCTGTGGTTCCATATGTATTTTAGGATTGTTTTTTCTATTTCTGTGAAGAAGGTAATTGTTATTTTGACATGTGCATTGACTCTGTAGATTTCTTTGAGTTGTGGGGTCACTTTAACAATATTCTTCTGATCCATATGCATGAGATGTCTTTCATTTGTTTGTGTCATCTTCAGTTTCTTTAATCAGTAGTTTATGGTTTTTCTGGAGAAGTCTTTCATCTCCTTGTTTAAATTTATTCCTAGGTATTCTTTTATTGTTGCTGTTGTTAATAAGATTACCTTTTTTGATTTCATTTTCAGCTAGTTTGTTGTTTGTGTTTAGAAATGCTACTGATTTGTGTATATTGATACTGTATCTTGTAATTGTACTGATTTCATTTATCAGTTCTAAGAGTTTTTGGTATAGTCTTTAGGTTTTTCTATATATAAGATTGTGTCATCTCCAAATAGACATTTTGACTATCTCCTTTTCAACTTGGTTGCCTGTTATTTCTCTTGACTAACTGCTCCGACTAGGACTTTCAGTACTATGTTGAATAAGAGTTGTGAAAGTAGATGTCCTTCTCTTGTTCTAGTAGTCAGAGGAAACACTTTTGGCTTTTTCCTAGTCAGTATGATGTTAGCTTTGGGTTTGCCGTATATCGCCTTTATTATGTTGAGATACTTTCCTTCTATCCCTAATTTGAGAGGTTTTAATCATGAAAGAATGTTGACTTTTATCAAATGCTTTTTCTGTATCTATCAAGATGACCATATGGTTTTTGTCTTTCATTCTATTGGTGTGATGTATGATGTTTATTGATTTGTATTTGTTGAACCATCCTTGCATTCCTCAGATAAATTCCCCTGAATCATGATGTATTATCTTTTTGGTGTGTTGTTAGATTTGGCTTCCTAATATTTTGTTGAGAATTTTTATGTATATGTGCATTGAATGTATTAGCCTGCAGTTTTCTTCTTTTTGTTGTGTTCTTGTCTGGTTTTGGTTTCGGGGTTATCCCAGCCTCATAGAATGAGTTAGGAAGAATCATTCTGCTTCAATTTTTTGGAATAGTTTGAGAAAAATTGATATTAATTATTCCCTAAAGGTTTAGTAAACTTCAGCTGTGAAGCCATCCAGTCCTGGACTTTTCTTTTTTGGAAGACCTTTTGTTTTATTTTGTTTTGAGATGGAGTTTTGCTCTTGTTGGCCCAGGCTGGAGTGCAATGGCATGATCTCGACTCACTGCAACCTCTACCTCCCAGGTTCAAGTGATTCTCCTGCCTCAGCCTCCTGAGTAGCTGGAATTACAGGCATGCGCCACCACACCCAGCTAATTTTGTATTTTTAGTAAAGATGGAGTTTCGCCATGTTGGTCAGGCTGGTCTCAAACTCTAGACCTCAGGTGATCTGCCCGCCTCGACCTCCCAAAGTGCTGGGATTACAGGCATGAGCCACCGCACCCAGCTTGGGAGACTTTTTATTAGTGATTCAATCTGGTTACTTGTTATTGGTCTGTTCAGGTTTTCTGTTTCTTCCTGGTTCAATCTTGATAGGTTGTATGTGTCCAGGAATTTATCTAGTTTCTCTAGGTTTTCAAATTTGTGTATAGTTGTATTTTTTTTGTTTTGTTCTGTTTTGTTTTTTTAGACAGGGTCTCACTTTCTCCCAGGCCAGAGTGCACAGGTGTGATCATAGCTCACTGTAACCTCAAACTTCTGGGTTCAAGCAATCCTCCTGCTCCAGCCTGCTGAGTGGCTAGGACTATAGGTGTGCACCACTACTCCCAGCTAATATGTATATAGAGATAGAGTTTTGCTGTGTTGCCCAGGCTGGTCTTGAACTCCTGGAATCAAGTGATCCTTCCTCCCCGGTCTCCCAAAGCACTGGAATTACAAGCATGAGCCACTGCACTCATCCCAAGTTGTTCGTAGTTCAGTATTTCTGTGGTATCTGTTGACAAGTCTCCTTTTTGATTAAATGGGGAATTTAATCAGTTTACATTCAAGATGAGGCCCTCTCCTGATAGGCAAGACCTTCTCCTGTCATTTTATTGATTGTTTTCTTGTTGTTTTCTATTTCCTTTTTTCCTCTCTTATTGTTTATTTTTGTGGTTGGGTAGTTTTCTGTAATTAGATTTGGTTCTTTTCTCTTTCTAGTTCTTTTCTCTTTATAGTTTCACATGTTTTTATGATGGTGGTTATCATCCTTTTACTTCCAACTGTGAGACTCCTTTGAGCATTTCTTATAACGCTGGCTTAGTGGTGATGAATTTACAGAGTTTTTGCCTGTCTATAAAAGATTTTATTTCTCCTTCATTTCTGAGAGATAGCTTTGCTGGATATAATATTCTTGGATGACAGTTTTTTTCTTTTCAATATTTTGAATATATCATCTAATTTTGTGCTGGCCTATAAGGGTTCTATAAGAAATCTGTTACTAGTCTAATGGGAATTCCCTTATATGTGACTTGATGCTTTTCTCTTGCTACTTTTAGAATTTCTTTGTGTTTGACTTTTGACAATTTGAATATATTTTGCCTTGGAGAGGACCTATTTGGGTTGCATCTATTTGAGGTTCAGTGAGCTTCCTGGACCTAGATGTCTGTCTCGGACCCAAGATTTGGGAAATTTGCAGCTGTTATTTCGTTAAATATGTTTCCTTAACTTTCCCTTCTCTTCTGCTTGGCTGGCCTGTGGATATATCTGCTGTAGATGGCCCGTGGGGCTGTTTCTCAGGTTTGGGAAATGGGTACAAGGCTGCTCAGGGAACTCAGGAGTGTGTCCACCATACACGGCCCTCAGAGCTATTTCTCAGGCCCTTGACATGGCTTCACAACTTCTTGACTGGCATGGGAGATGCCCCACATGGAACTGTTTCATAGGTCCAGGAGCAGGCACAGGGCTGCCCAGCCTGGGAATCAATCTGTCTACTAGGGGTGGTTCACACAACTTTTTCAGGTTTGGCATGTGGGTACAAGGCTGCTTGGCTGGCTCAGGGTTGTGGCTCAGAAGTGAGCCCTCCATAGGGCTCAGGTGACATGTTTGCCAGAGGTGACCCACAGGGCTGTTTCTCAGGTACAGTCGTGGGCTTCTGGCTGCTTGGATGGACTGAGAGTATGCCCACCAGGGGCAACCTGCTGTGCCCAGGGACAGGACTGTTTCTTAGACCTTGATTGCAGGTGGAGAGCTAAGGGCATATCTGCAGTGGGGGAGTGCTGTAGGGCTGTTTCTCAGGACCTGAGTACAGATGTGTAGCCTCTCTGCCAGCCCAAGGGATGTATCAGCTGCTGAGAAACTTAGGGGGTGCGCTCCCACTTGGAGGGCATGTAGCAGTTTTCTCTGGCTCAAGGGCAGGTTTGCCTTGGGTGGGACTGCCAGACTGTTCCTCTGACTGGAAGTGTGGCAGTGGCGGCAGAGTGTTGGGGAGCGGAGGGTAAGGGAGGTTGATTTCCCTGCTGTGCAGGACTGGAGTCACAGCCGATCCTGGGCCCTGGCTTTGCATAGTTGGGGTTGTGGTGTTCAGCCACCCATGTGGGTTTGGTGGAATGAAGATGGAGCTCCAGTGCTAGAGAAATTCAGTGGCTACTAACCTCCAGAGCAGGGTGAGCTCCAGAGGTGGCTCTGGTCTCAAGATGGCACCATGCTGCAGCAACTTTTCTCCCAGGGAGTGGATGGATGGGGGAGGGGAGTGTGCACCTTGTGCTCCTAATCTGGGGCAGTGCAGCTGCATGAATTCCTGGCAGCTCTCCAAACTGGGCTGGAGGCTTGCAAGGACTGTGGGCTTCTCCTGTAGTAAGGATTGTAGGTGTTTGCAGTGGCAGTGGGGGCTAGTAGGGATCTTCTGCTTACCTTTTCCCTGAAATGGGAAGTCCCTCCTGGCTCTGGGCAGATCCAATCTGGGTTGGGGAGACAGGGCTGCAGTGGCCAGGTATTTCCATGCTGCCCTCATAGACTTCCAGTCTCCACACCTGCATCTCCAGTTGCTCGCTGCACCCCAGTACTCTCCCATTGACACTCAAACTGAATCTTAGCTGTTTATTTGATGCCTAGGTTCTTTCTTATGGGGGGATGCGTGCTGGGTATCTCTAGTCAGTCATCTTATTGATGTCACCCTCTGAAATTAAAAATATTTAAATCTTAAATTACCCTTTTTTTTTTTTTGAGATGGAGTCTTGCTCTGTCAACAGGCTGGAGTGCAGTAGCGTGATCTTGGCTCACTGCAACCTCTGCCTCCCGGGTTAAAGGGATTCTTCTGCCTCAGCTTCCCGAGTAGCTGGGACTACAGGCGCGCATCACCATGCCCGGCTAATTTTTGTATTTTTAGTAGAGATGGGGTTTCACCATGTTGGCCAGGATAGTCTCGATCTCTTGACCTCGTGATCCGCCCATCTTGGCCTCCCAAAGTGCTGGGATTACAGATGTGAACCACTGCGCCTGGCCTGAATCTTAAATTACTCTAAGTAGTCGAGTTATTTGAACACCATGGCTTGTATGTTCTCACAGTTTGATTTCCTTAGAAGGAATTTAGATAACTTTTCAAATAGATCAGAACAAGGAGAAAGTTATTTTAGACGAGGAGTATTACCTGGAGTAGAAGGCAGGCATGAAAGTATATGGTATATTTGTGAACCTGTGTAGCTAGAATGTAAGATATGTATATGGATGGGAGGTTGGGGAGGGCGGGTAATTGAAACTGTGGAACAAAGTAGAGATGATAGATGCTACTGACTGGAGAAATAATAAATCTATGGTCAAATTGTAAAAGAAGGGTTTTGAATACAGTGTTGATTAAATTCTTTTCTTCGGCAGTGGGAGACTAGAGATTTTTAAGTGATGAGGTCAGTAATTTAAAAAGATAAGAAGTGAAAGTAAAGCAACAATAATAGATTGTTAGTGTAGTCATGGTATTAGATATCAGCTTGTACCAGGTGTATGGTAGTGGGGCTAGAGAGGGATCATATGAGAGAAGTTTGGAGGTATGACAAATAGGTTATATTAATTTATTCCTTTATAATTATTGAGTGGTTTCTGTGTGCCAGGTACAGAATTTATAGTGGTGGGAGGTGGGAAAGGGGAGGAAACAAGAAAGATTCTAGGGTTCTTTGTTGGAAAATTGAACAGATAGTAAAAGATGAGTAGATTTGAGGAGGGAAAATACATCCTGTGTTTTGTTTTTTTTTTCTTGGAGGTAGTTGTAACAAATTCACAGAAGAGCTTAGTTTATGCTCTTACATTTTTTGCTTAGTATCTTGAGTTTATAAAAAGAATTGAAACTGGGTATCCTCCCTTTACTTCCTTCTGTTAGAAATAGCAGAAGTAAAAGTGCAGCTGTTGTTAGTTTAGAATCTTATCTTAGAATATTTAAATTTTACTTCTAGGCTGGAGTGCCGTGGTGCAATCTCGGCTCACTGCGACCTCCACCTCCTGAGTTCAAGCAATTCTCCTGCCTCAGCCTCCTGAGAAGCTGGGATTACAGGTGTGCGCCACAATGCCAGGCTAATTTTTGTATTTTTAGTAGAGATGTTTCATCATGTTGGCCAGGCTGGTCTTGAACTCCTGACCTCGTGATCTGCCCGCCTCGGCCTTCCAAATAAATTTAACTTTTTAATTGAGTCAGTAATGTAAAGAATTGAGTTGAGTACTTTAAAAATAAATGTTAAAAGAAGTAAAATGGCAAGCACAGTGGCTTACTTCTTTAATCCTAACACTTTGGGAGGCCAAGGTGGGAAGATTGCTTGGGGCCAGGAGTTTGAGACCAGGCTGGACAACATAGCAAGACCCCACAAAAAAAAAAGTTAGCCGAGTATAGTGGCTGGCACACAACTGTAGTCCTAACTACTTGAGAGGCTAAGAAAGGAGGAACACTTGAGAGCCCAGGAGTTCGAGGTTGCAGTGAGCCAAAATTGTGCCACTGCATTCCAGCCTGGGTGACAGAGCGAGCCTCTGTCTCTAAATAACAACAACAACAACAATAATAATAATAATTAGAGATTTCTGAGTAAAAATTAAGTGGGGTCACATAATTTTTCTTCACTAAAACCAATTTAAAGAAGGAAAGAGTAGATGGTGGGTTGAAGAAAGAGGGCAGAAATGGAAAGAAGCAGACAAAAAAGGGGTATCTGTAGCCTTATACCAAATACTTCAAAAGTGGAAGGTAAAGAAAGAATGAGAAGATACTAGTTGTATATGACAAGTCTTCTAATCCCAGCCCCATATCCCAGAAACAAGACTAAGGAAAGAGGAAGCCTACAAAATATTGCGATATCTCATTCATACTTTTAGAGAAGTAGACCTAGGAGGTGAGTAGGAAGCAAAAAGTCAAGGAAAAATCCTTGAGAAGACCCTACATACCAGTGCTGAGCCTCAGCAGAGGCAGCAAGCATTGACATTTTGAATGGTACTCTGAGTTAAGGGCAAGAGCCAAAGCCCATGAAGGTAGGCTAGATCCCTCACTAGGGAGATCAGTCTTGGTACAGGACATTTAAGGACACCTCAGCCATGCCTGTGCTCAGTCCAATTTTAGCTCTTCCTTTTCTGTGTCGTTGGATTGTAGAAAAGTAGATTAAGAGTAGTTCCTAATTCTCAAACTGAAGTTTGTGTGTGTATGCATAAACAGGTGTACACAAAAATAAAAATGGACCCAACTAAGATGAGAAAGGTGTTAGGGGTTGCCATGCAGAATCTTAGATATCAGAGTAAATAGGAGCTGAGGATAGCAGTTTCTGTATTAAATGTGATTAAAAAAAATATAGGATGGCAACTCTACAAATATAGGAGAAAAATAAAGGAAAGAAGTAACTCTGAAAAGACTAGGTAAGAATAGCTGATATCCCTAAAATAGAGACTTCAACAAATGGAAGAGAAAAAGTATTCAGAAATAAAATCCAGACAAAAGCTTTTGAAATGAAATGTGTATTTGCAGATTGACAGGCACACTAAATGCTAGGAAAAAAGTATGAAATGATTAAAATTGACCATATCCTAGTAGTTTTTAACTTCAGAAATAAGGAGGGAATTATTTTGTTATCCTGGCCAGAAAGAGAAAAACATGACCTATACAAAGAGAAAAAAATTCAAGGTAGCTGAATTTTAACTTCTCAGTTATTGTCAATTCCAGAAGACAATGGAAAAATGTTTACAAAGTTTTAATGGTAGGAATTTGTGAACCAGAAGTATTATACCCAACAGGATCAGATAGATTTGTTTTGGCTGCTAATAACAGTGGCTTAAACTACAATGATTTATAATCTTGAGTACAAGAAGTATAGAAATAGTCAGTCTAGAACTAGTATGGTGGCTTCACCCAAGGCAACCCAGGATCTTCCCTATCTATGAACATACCTGGTTTCTAGTCTCAGTGTCACTGTCCATGGTGGCTACTGGAGCTGTCATCATTAAAATAACATTGAAAAGATCAGGAAAAGGGAGGGGAGAAAGAACAAAAGGGCTTTTCCCAACTACAAGTACTACCCAACACTTTTGGGTGGTGTTTGGAGCAGAACTTAGTCTTGGCCACATCTAACTGCAAGAAAGGTTAGGAAAGGTCTTTATTTTGGGCAGCAGTGTGCCAGCACAATTTTCAAAGAGGATGATGGAATAATGGGTGTCAATTAGCAGTCTCTGCCATGCCAACCAAGTGGTTAATCAAATACACAGGAAGCAATGAAGACGTTCTCTAACATGTAAGAGCACAGAATATAGCAGTCCTTTCTTGAAAAATACTGTTGGATGATTAAATCAAGTCAACCTCAAATGAAACAAAATTAAATAGTAATGACTTCAGGTATGGCAAAGCCATCTTAAAATAATCAGGGGTGATCATCAAATCCATTTAAATACAGAAGAAAATGGAACAACTTTGAGAAAGGTGGCTGTGGAATAAAATCTAAATGTGAGATCTTTGGAGAAGTGTAAGCATGTTAATTATGTCTGCTTTCATAACAGGAAGCTATGGATACAATGTAAAGTTGAACATGTAGATAAAAGTTAAAATCACTGTGGATTTATTAAAGAATGATTTTTGTCACTTTTTTCTTTTGTTTTGATGGCTCTATAAGCTAAGGAAACTTTTTTCTAAATGTTAGGAGGATGTTTTAAGACCTAAATAACTCTTGTGGCAAGACACCTGAAGTTCGTGAGTTCTTCCAGTTTTCATTTTCTTTTCTTAGAATTCATGGAAAATTAAATTAATATTTTATTTTCATTTTATTTTTATTTACTTATTCTTTTTGAGACGGAATCTTGCTTTGTCACCCAGGCTGGAATGCAGTGGTGCAGCCTCGGCCCACTGTGTCTATTTATTTGGTAAAATGAAATCATACTCTTTATGATTCTGCATCTTAAAAAAAAATCTCAGGTGGGAATGATGGTTCATCATGCCTGTAATCCCTGCACTTTGTGAGGCTGAGGTGGGAGGATTGCTTGAGCCCAGGGCAACATAGTGCGGAAAAAAAAAAAAAAAATTAGCCGGGCATGGTGGTGTGCACCTGTAGTCTTGACTACTTGGGAGACTGAGGCAGGAGGATCGTTTGAGTTGGTGAGGTTCAGGCTGCAGTGAGCCATGATTGCTCCACTGCACGTTAGCTTGGGTAACAGAGTGAGACCCTGTCTCAAAAATAAATAAATAAATAAATAAACTCTTACCCCTCTGTTTAGTTTATTTCTTCTTTGACTTCTTTATTTTTATGTTTTGTAGCTATGGTTAACTTAACAGGCCACAAACTAAATTTTTGTGTTTCCTTTCATAACCATTGTTTTTTTCTGTCTCAGAAAATGGTTTAAGCCAAAAACCTAGATTCTTTTCTTCTTAATCCCTCCCTCAACCTGCCCCATCCCAGTCTATTCCTAGATTTTGTTGATTTTACCCATACATATGACTCAAAACTACCTCTAGTCCATCTATACTACTTGCCTCTGAGCCCACTATATCCTCTTCTTTTGCGTGGAACTGTGATCATACTTTGTTAACTAGCCTCACAACTTCCACTCTGAGCCTTGCAGTCCTGTTCATTCTCTGTGCCACAATAAGAATGGTCTTTTGGAAATTGGATGGTCACTGCTCTGCTGGGATCACTTCAATTACTTTCTGTTTTATTTATAACAAAATTACTTGCTATGGCATCTATGACCTGATGCCTCCTATCTCCTTCTCAGACTTTATCTTGAACCACTGCCATTTGTGTCCCAAGGTCTTTGTGTTTGCTCTTCCTGCTGCCTGAAATGTCCTTTTCTTAATTCTTAGCATCGCTGGCTGTTATCCTTCAGATCTCAATTCAGAGTATTGAGAGGGGACCTTGTTAGCCATCCTTTCCAAAAGTATCCCATCCAGTCCCAATCAACTCCCTGTTTGTTTAGGGCACTTCCTCAACACAAGTCTTGATCATTTTGTATCTTCTCTGTGCAATGCAGGTTTCATCAGGGCAGCCATCTTGTTTGTTGTACACTGTTGTATCCTCAGGGTCGATTACTGTGCATTGTTAGTAAATGTTCAGTAAATATTTTTTTAAATGATTAGATAGTGGCTGAAACATCTCTAAAGCAATGTTCAAATTTTATTTAATTGCATTTTTTTTTTTTTAAATTCAAGACAGAGTCTTGCTCTGTCACCCAGAGCTGGAGTGCAATGGTGTGATCTTGGTTCACTGCAACTTCTGCTTCCCAGGTTCAAGCAATTCTCCTGCCTCAGCCTCTCGAGTAGCTGGGATTACAGGCATGTGCCACCATGCCCGGCTACTTTTTGTACTTTTAGTAGAGACAGGGTTTCACCATATTGACCAGGCTGGTCTTGAACTCCTGACCTCATGATCCGCCCGACTTAACCTCCAAAATTGCTGGGATTACAGGTGCGAGCCACTGAGCCCAGCCTCAGTAGTATTTTTGATGATGAGGTATTGTTAGCAAATTTTAATCTCTAAGTCATTTTTAAGGTCTGTTAACTCTTTAAGCCATTTAGATATCATTTAATCCATTATTATTTTGATAAAGAGTACCTGGAACACTAATTTAGAATGTTTCTGCTGAAAACGAGTAATAACATGTCCATGTTTGAATTGAGCCTGATAGGTTGGTGGTAAAACTTTCCTCTGAGTAAATGAGGAAGTTAAACCATTTAAATGGATCATATTTCATTACTGATTTTTCTAAGCAGCACAGCAGTCAAATAAAAGAAAAAGCCAGTACATTATAATTAGCTATTTAAAGGACATTTAAGTACTTAACAAAATAACAAAAAACCCAAATAATGCTCAAGGAATGGTAAATTAATTCATCTGTGGTTGTACTTTGGTTGGTAATAGTAATACTGAAGTTAAGAAACCCTGAAATTTAAAAAGTTGCTTTAAAAGACATATCAGGTGGGTTGGTTGTACCCATCAGGAAATTCTGCAGAGGGCTTTGTGGTTAGTATCAAGATTATAACTCTAGGCCATGTATAGTGGCTCACGCCTGTAATCCCAACACTTTGGGAGGCCGAGGCGGGCAGATCACTTGAGGTCAAGAGTTCAAGACCAGCTTGGCCAACATGGTGAAACCCTAAAAATTCAAAATACAAAATTTATGTAGGAAAAAGATAGCAACATGTATGTTTGGTACTATCTGCTAAAAATACAAAAATTAGCTGGGTGTGGTGGCATGCACCTGTAATCCCAGCTACTTGGGAGGCTGAGGCACAAGAATTGCTTGAACCCAGGAGGCAGCAGTTGCAGTGAGCCGAGATTGCACCACTGCACACCTGCCTGGGTGACAGGGTAAGACTCCATCTCAAAAAAAAAAAAAAATTGTAACTCTAGGCTGGTCGTGGTGACTCACGCCTATAATCCTAGCACTTTGGGGTGCCAAGGCAGGAGGATTGCTTGAAGTCAGGAGTTTGAGACCAGCCTGGACAACAAAGTGAGACCCGGCCTCACAAAAAGCAAAAAAATAAAAAAATATTAGCCAGGCGTGATGCTGTCCACCTTTAGTCCCAGCTACTCGAGAGACTGAGGTGGAGGAACTCTTGAGCCCAGGAGTTTGAGGCTACAGTGAACTATGATTTCACCATTGAACTCCAGCCTAGGTGGCAGAGTGAGATCCTGTCTCCTAACAAAGAGATTATAGATATAGGAATTCACTTAGATTTTGTAACAGCACAAAACACTTTTATTAGTACAGGTTTAGAGAGATGTTACTTGCCTGTAGTTTTTCTTCTTAGATTATGTATCATCTTCTAGCCCAAAGTACACAGACTATGCATTGGTTCCATTAAGGAAAATAAAAATTACAGATACTCATTTTATGACAGGTATAATAGAAAATGTATAGCTGTTTATTAGACCTTATTTTGCATTTCGTTTAAAATTACAACTTTGACCATAAAACATGTGGTGTTTATTCTTCCAAACATTTCCATGAAATATTATCCTCATTCCAGATGAAGAATTAAAATTGTTCCTATAACTTGTAATAATTTATAGGTCACATGATTACAAAGTAGGAGCCCTGAAACTAGTAGGAGATTGCATTCTTTTTGTTTAGCTTTTGTATCAATATGAAAGATGTGATTTGAACCTTAGCATTTATTACCCTTTTAAGGGCAGAGCAACTTTGTTCCCAGTTTTCAAGGTCTAAAAATGTCTTGTTTTGGTTGTGGAGAAGGCAGCTGAGTTATATTTAACTTTAGCATTTAGGAATGGTGTTAGACTAGACTTTAACGTACTTTCATTGGACCTTTTAGATTTGCAATATATAAAACCTTTTAAATCTTACATATTGGTGACTGAGTGACAGATCAGTAAATAAACCAACCATATTTATTATACTTCATGATATCTTTGTACCCTTTAATGTTATGAAAAAGTATGTTTGTTTATGTGCGTGTTGGGGGAGTACAGGAGTTGGACAGGTAGAGTTTTCAATTCTAGCCCTTAAATTAATTAGTCTGTGGTGGTACTTTGGTTGGCAACTTTTTAATTTGATTTGTAAATATTTGTGTTTAATATAGGCGAAAAGTTTTAGGAAAATTCAGAGATAATAAAGACATTGGACTACTCTCAAAGAACGTATAGGTGGGAGGTAGGGGCACAAACAGAAAAGTACACTAAAGTCTATATAAAACAATATATTAAGTATATAGCAGTCCCCCTTATCTGTGAGGGTTATATTCCAAGATCCCCAATGGAAACCTGAAGCCACAGATAGTACCAAACCTATATTTGCTATGTTTTTTCCTGCATATACATACTTATGATAAAGTTTATTTTATAAATTAGGTACAGTAAGACAGGGTCCCCAACCAGTTGGTCTGCAACCTGGCAGGAACTGTGGGCTGCACAACAGGAGGTGAGTGGTGGGCAAGTGAGCGAAGCTGCATCTGTATTTACAGCTGCCCCCAGTCACTTGCATTACCATCTGAGCTCTGCCTCCTGTCAGCTCAGCAGCGGTATTAGATTCTCATAAGAGTGCGAACCCTGTTCTCAACTGTATGTGAGGGATCTAGGTTGCATGCTCCTTATGAGAATCTAATGCCTGATTGTGTGAGGTGGAGTTGAGACAGTGATGCTAGCTAGCACTGGG